TTCAATTACTACCACTGCCTTTAAAAACTTTATGTCTTTGATTATCTTTCCTGGGTTTAAATCAAGCTATTTTGGGCTGAGGATGTGGCTCAAGCCGTAGTGCGCTCGCCTGGCATGCGTGCGGCCCAGGTTCGATCCTCAGCACCATATACCAACAAAGATGTTGTGTCCGCCGAGAACTAAAAAATAAATATTAAAAATTCTCCCTCTCTCTCTCTCTCTCCTCTCTCACTAAAAAAAATAAAATAAATCAAGCTATTTGGACTATGTTGATAGTTACTCCTTATTTTATTGTAATGAGGAGTAACTTACTTCCCCATTCTTACTAGTGAGTTCTGGTTGTCTTTAAGGACATGGGAAAGATGTTACAGCACAGGAAGTTCAAACTTATTAGTGGGCTTTGATCCAGAAAATCACTGTAAATTAGTTGTTTGGAACCTGGAATTTATTTTCCCATGGAAATAGTGGTTATATTCCCAGAGGGTTCACAAAAGCTTATTTAACTAAGAATGCAGTAGAAATGAACACTGTCACCTTTGTGCTAACCTCTGCCTATTATCCTGAAGTCTCTATGGATTTCTCTCCTTATTACAATGTTTAACCACCACTTTGGGAACAGCTTTTTTCATTACAAATTATAGAAAATGTTGACTGTCACTTGTAATTCTATCCAAATCCAATCTTTAATCATTCTTTGGGGGTGTTTCTTTTTACCACCCAATACTTAAAACAGAACTTCTGTTGGAGAGTTATTTTCCTTTTTTCTAATATCAAGGAGTCAGTATAATGGCCAAAGAGTGCCTGTAGCCTAGGCTATAGTGTCATGTTCTCTCCTATAGCTTGATAAGCACTGCCATCAGAGGCCAAGAAGATATTTTCTTGACTTTGTGGAGTTTTAAAACAAACAACCTCCCTAACACTCTTCCCCAGCTTTCTTGGCTTTTGACATGTAATCATACGATAGTTTCTAGGTTTTATTCATCCTGAGTTTGGTGGTATAATTTAAGAGACTACCTGAATAACGTTCATGCTCATTTTGATTATAGTTGAATTGTTACTACAGAAATTTCATTCTCAAATAATCTAAAGCTATGATCTAAATGACTGCCAAATATATAACTTATCTCAGGAATACTTTCTTTCATGTTATAGTAACCACAATAAAACAAAAATATCTTTGTTTTAGATGGAAACATTACCAAGAAATGTTTCCAAAACAGAAATGCTTTAAAAAAAAATTGTGTATGGCCACAATAATAGTGTGGCATTGCAAATTTTTAGGCCATGTACACATCCCACTACTACCTCCTTACTTCTGGGGTATTGCCATGTTGCCCAGACTGGAGTGCAGTGGCTACTCACAGGCATAAGCCCACTAGTGCCCAGCACATGCTAATCTACTGGTGTCCCTGTTCCTAGGAGGTTACCAAATTGATGCTGAACCTAGTAAGGACACCCAATTGGCTTTGGTATAGCACACTACATCCTTGAACTTCTGGGCTTAAGCGACCCTCAACTTCCCCAGTAGCCACCACACCCAGATCCTTGGAATTTTACTTTCCAGGAATTCTTGGTATTATTTTAAAGTCTGCCTGTGTTGGAAAAAAACCACCTTTAACATTAGGGAAGATTTTTATCATCACAACTACCCTCCAAAAAAACCCACCAAATTTACCTAACCATGTCATCAGTTGTGTTTTTTTTTGTTTTTAAAGCCCATGTGATTCTGTCAGTAAACATTTGCCAACAAAATCATGGCTTTATTGTGTAAAGACAAATTCTACTATATTAAACATGCATACATCTTTTGCTTTAAATCCTCACAATCTATGAATGAAAACTTTTAAGGATATAGATGGTATTTTTCTTAATAACTTCACTGTAACAGCCATAATATGGTGGTCAATTTTTATAAAACTAAAATCATTAATATAGAAGGTAGATTGATTAGATTCTGATAGTAAACATATTAAGGTAAGACAGCCCACACCTGTACTAGCTAATCTCAGCAACTGGGAAGGTTGGGGCAGGAGGATAGAAAGTTCCAGGCCAGACTCAGCAATTTAGCAAAACCTTGTCTTAAAAATAAAAAATGGCTAGCATGGTAGAGCACACCTGGGTTCAATATCCAGTTTAAAAACAAAAACTGGGGCTGGGACTGTGGCTCAGTGGTAGAGTGCTTGTCTAGCATGGGCAGAACCTGGGTTCGGTCCTCAGCACCACATAAAAATAAAGGCATTGTGTTGTGTCCATCTACACCTAAAAAAATAAATATTTAAAAAAAATAAAAACAAAAACTGAGGCAAGTGTAGTCCTATTTCAACTAAAGACCAAACAGCTACTTATGAAATCAAGGCATGATAGAATAAATTAGCTAGTGCTTTACACCAACTAATACATTTTCAGGATCTGGAAGAAATTTTTTCTTAATAACGATGCATTTCTTTTTGACAATAGGTATTGAACCCAGGAGTGCTTTACCACTGAGCTACATACATCCCCAGTTCATTTACTATTATTATTGTTATTTAAATTTTAGGACAAGATCTTGCTAAATTGCCCATGCTGGCTTAGAACTTCAGCCTCCGGAGTTGCTGGGATTATAGGTGTGGTGTATGCTACTGCACCTGGCTCACGGTGCATTTCACTGACAAATATTAACCTTTTTGCATTCTTTAAAACAATTGATAGGTTTAGGCACTACACTTCAGAAAGGTGAAATAAGCTACTAGTTAACTAATGAATGAAAGAGGGCTCCAGTAGCAGGTGACTAAAATTGTTTTTGGCAAAGCACAGTGGTCAGGAACCTAGGATTTCTAGACCCATGGCATTTTAGTAGGCACCTTGGAAACTACAGGGCAGAACCTAGAATTTTATTGAGCCAAGAAATTTCACACTCTGATAAATTAGACAACTATCCTGTCTTAAAAAAAATAAAAGGAAAAAAACAGCATAAAACTTTTTGGAGCTCCTGTGGGAATTAAATGAGAATACATACATAAAGGTATCTAGCAGGGTTGGAATTGTAGCTCAGTTGAAGTAGAGCGCTCACTTAGCACAGAGCTTGATCCTCAGCACCACATAAAAATAAATAAATAAAATTAAGGTATCGTGTCTATCTACAATTAAAACTACTTTTTAAAAAAAGTATCTAGCAAAGTTACCAATGTGAGTCAGCAGGGTGGTGACAGGCAGGTATTTGACTAATTCAAGCTACTAAGGAGGTTGAAGTGGGAGGATCACTTGAGCCCAGGGGTTGGCAACAGAGCAAGACCCCTTTTCAAAAGTTAGCCAAATCTGAGTAGTGAGAATTTTGCTGGAGGAAAAAAAAGTGCTCCTAAATTATGACAGCATTTTTTTTTAAGCACTTTTGCTTCTAAGAATTGAGGGTGCCTGAAATGAGTTAACAACGGAAACAAGTGACCAATATTGCAAATTCAGTGGGATTCTTCTTAGTTGGGCAGCAATCCCCCAAATTTTGACTAGTTGGCTAGGATGATGAAAAAATAATTTATACCCATGTACAAGTCAACCTTTATAAAGAGAAAGCACTGAAATCCTGTGATTATACAAGTACAGTATTAGCCTGATAGACATCATGCAAGCACATGTCTCTTGGGTGACAAAAGGGATTGCATAAAAAGATACAGCCAGCTTAAGGCAAACAAACACATCTGAATTTCTTGAAACACTGAAAACATCATCTATAAAGTTATATCATATATAAGGAAAAACAAGCTTTTAGCAAACATGGTTTTCAAGTTCACTAGAGGTCTAAGTAAAGGGAAATAGTTTCCTTGCAATGACCACTGTGTTTATCTCCAAATGTTAAAAACAAATAAGTAAAGCAAAGTTCACAACTGAGGCTTCAAAGATGTTAAGAACCAGTTAAGTTGGCAGTGACTCTGGAGGCAGAGGCAGGAGGACCTAAAGTTCCAAACCAGTCTCAGCAATTTAGCACGGCCCTGTCTCAAAATAAAAAATAAAAAGGGCTGGGGATGTGGCTCAGTGGTATAGCACCCTGGTTTCAATCCCCGGTACAATAAACAACTAACTAAATAAATAAACCACTTAATTTTTTTTTCCCTATTAAAGAGGGAGGCAAAAACCACAAAAATAATTCGGAATATTCAGGTATTATATTCAAATTTAGATGATAAAGATGGGATTCAGCAAGGCAGAGTGAATACCTGATATGTGCATTAACTGAACTCACCTTAAAGTTATAACAATTTCTGAATTCGGGAGCTCAAAAAATACACATTTTTATATGGAGTCATAAGTTACTTACTACTGATCCAAGGCACTAATACTACAAATTCATTCCCATGAGGTTAGCCAACATGTGTTAGAAAAAATATCTTTTAGTACAAAACTCCATTCCTCATTCCTTGTAGAACATACATAAAGACAGTCTGGTCATTTTCTACCTTTCTTCTCTCTCTCCACAAAAATGGAAAAAATCTCCAGTAAGAGTTCTCTTGGAACAGATGCAAATAGGCAATGCCCTTCTATCACTTTTGCACTACCTCAATATTGTTTATTTTTGATCCTATTTACCTACCCTGCTTTGTTCATTAAAAAAAAAAAAAAAAACAACTTCATGACATTCCTTGTAATGTATGAAAACTCATTCATACAGACCGGCAACACAGTGAAAGTTCTGAACTAACATTTCAACTTTAACAAAAATAAACAGATTTCTCAATTCTGTGATACAGGATGCAGACAGCAACACATGTAATACAAAGACCTAAACTTTAGGGACTCTAGATAGATAAAAACTAAATGACCACCTATCATTCTTAATAATTTTCCTTAAGAAACCTAAAGCTGTGTTTAAAAATCTATTTCCAGGTTTACAGTATTCTTCCTTCATGGGCAGACCACAACAGAATTAGGATTATTTCCAGAAACATGGTCAGTTATACACTGGGGTTGGATTTAAACCTCCAGTGATGTCTGCTTTTATTTGCACTGTGAAAAATAAATATTATGCCTTTCAGGACAGTCAATAGGTTTTATTTACATTGCTTTGCGAGGAGGAGACAAAAGACATCTCTTTACAATTGTCTTACAGCAATCTCAGTTTAGAATACGTGACACAGACATATGTGTATGTATATATATGAAAACACAAACATTTATATATAGAGTAACAAAAATAAATAGACAAAATAACTATGAAGCCTCTGGAAGTACAGATTTATAAACTGTCCACCAGACACAGAACTTAAACCTGTAATGGACAAAAATCATTACTGACTTAAAAAAAAATACGACTTTCACTAACATGGAAAAAAATTAAGATAGAAAAGAGAAAACAATAATCACCGGAAAACCTGTGGTTGTAAAGATTTCTTCCCATCAGAAGATGCAGAAACATTTTCCCCCCTGGAGCAAATGCACGTTTCTCATGAACCCTCAGTTTCTTCCCTGCTTTCTCCCCCAGGCGCTGGTGTCGACGGCCGGTGTGGACTTTTTTCCAGAGGTGAGAAGTAGAAATGTGTACTTTATCGGGGAGCGAGTGCACTTTTCCCCCTGGCCCCCCTTTGCTCTGCCTCCAAGATGGTAGGAAAGTTGTCGTTTCGGAGGGCAGAGGAGCCACTCTGGTGTTATGTCCTCGCAGTGCCTGTAGTGGTGCTGTAGGAGGCTGCTGCCTCTTCTTGTGCAGCCCCGGCAGCCCTGCCTTCTTGGCTGGAGAGTATATTCAGGGATTTCCCCTTAATAATCACCGACCCTGGGAGCACTTTTTACTTTCCAAAATAAAAATATGATCCTCACCCCTCTTGCTTGACAGGGAAAGGCTCTCACTGAAGCCCAGGGGGGAGCAGTAGCAGCGGCAGCCGAGCTTCCTAGTCCATTGCCAGCGCCTCTCACTCTGATCTGTCAGCCCAGC